CCCCTCCAGTTCTTCCCCGCCAGCCCCAGGACGTCCCGCTGCTGCACGACGGACTCCCGCTTCCGGTTCTGGGCGAGCTGGTCCTTCTGGCGGCGCAGAAGCAGCCTCCGCCGCGTGTTCTTTTGCTCCCGGTGCTCGATGATGTCGATCTTGTTGCCGACGATGACGATGGGCGGATTCGGACCGGCGTGGAGCCTCTTGCAGCGCCYGTGGTTGGCCTTCATCCTCCGGAGGCGCTCGATGAGCTCGTAGTACCAGTTGAGGACGTGCGTGAAGGAGGTGCTCGACGAGACGTCGTAGACGAGGCAGACGGCGTCGAGGTCCTTCAGAAAGTCGTCCGAGAARGACGCCTTGTACCGGGTCGTCCCGCCGGTGTTCTCGAAGCGTTCCCGCCCCGGCGTGTCCCACACCTGGATCGATATCGGTTGCCGACGGCGCCGCCCCTGTGGTTCCGGTCTTCGGGTTGCGCCACGCCGGTCTCGTTGGTCGCTGCCGGCGTGGTTGTGGTTGGCAGCGTCGTCGTCGTCGTCGTCTTCGTCGCCTCCATCGCTGTCGTCCGGGCGTTTGCCGCCCGCCCGCCCCCTGGTTTCTTCTGCTTCGCCGCCGCCGCCGTGTGTTGYAGCCGTGTCCTCCGCCGGCGGGTCCGGTCGGTTCGCAGAGACGATCGTGGAATACACATCGGCACCGATGGTCGGCATCCGGCAGTCTCCGTAAAAGGTCCCCTGGAAATAGCGGCGGAGGATCGACGTCTTTCCCGCGTTCTGGCCGCCCAGGAAGGCGAATTTCGCCTTTTCCATCGCGTCGTCTACTCCGGTGCGGTCCGGTCCGGTCCAACGAATTCGAGTCTATTCTGTTCTAGTCGAGTCCAATGACGTAGTTCCTTCCTTTCGCCATATCAAAGGTTCGTGGCTTGTCGAACGAGTATGGTATTTTCGTGCGAGAATGGGTTAACATCACAGACACATGTTTCTCGAATGGGATGTGGCTGGTCCGGTTCTTGTTCCTGCAGTTCCTGCGTCGATCCAGCTGCGTGAACACCTTGAATGCGGATTGAATTGTTGTGTTGCACCCGCGCTATGCTATGGACGCTGTCGGTCACACCCCAATCCGAGAGGTACGGTGCGATCCTTTGTCTTCTGCCGGGTTTTCGTTCTCTCGTTCTGTTTGGACGGTTGCACAAGGATGCAGTGTGTGAGCACGAATGTTTGATCCGGCTGATTGCCGATTTGGTTGCAGCCGTGATCTGACATTGATCTGTTCTTGTTCTTCTTCTTCTTCGGTGCTGGCGATTTTTCATTTTACAACACTTCCTAAGGTACCGTACGGTATGTACGTACGAGTAGTACAGAATATGTGTACGACTGCTAGTCTCATCCATATGTACAGTACTGTAAGCTGCAACAAAACTTTTTACCCTACCGTACCGGTACGTACTGCAACTTTAGGGGCAGGTCTACCACAACTTTTGAGCAGAGGTCATTCAATCAGGCACCCCCGCCCCATCCCATTTATTTGGAGCGGCACAGCATTCCGTCACATCGGTGTGTCTGTGTGTGTGTGTTTGTGCCTTCGGCCCATCGCAATCGCATCCAAAACCAACGCGGTGTTTGTTGTTTGTTCCCCACACGAAAGATGAATATCATACTAATCCTGTAATATTTTTTTCTTCCCCGCGTTTGTTTACCAACCACTGTTCCCTTCCGTTCCAGGCGCATCGCATCGCATCGAACGCAAGCAAGAACACAAGCAAGCAACCCACCAACCATGTCGCCAGCGGCCGCCCCCTCCCGTGAGCCGCGGGCCCCGGCGGTGGAGGTCATCGGGCCCGGGGAACAACCACCGAACCCCGTGATCCAGACCATCCCCTTTGCGATTCCCCCGCCGCTCCCGGTGGCCTCGCTCCCCTCGACCGGCAGGAACGGAATCGTCGGATCGATCGTCAGAATGGGGAAAAARTCCGCCATGGTGTGGGTCGGGTGGGGCCTGCTGGAAGAGGACGGCGCTCCCGCCTCCGCTTCCAGAGCAGAAACAGCGAAAGAAGCTCACGGCGGGGACCCCTCGTGGTCCGGCTTTGGAACGGSGACCCCGGCGATGGGCCAGCTCGTCCTGGCCATGCCCCGGACCCGCTACGCCGGGGCCTTTTCGCCGCCGGGCGGGGAGGCCCCCTGCTCCCAGCTGGTGGGGAGCGCCTCCTCGGAGGACCAGATGCTCGCCAACCAGATGGCGGCRCGGCTCAGCTCGAGGTCGGGGATGGCAATCTACGTCTCCTGCCGGCTCTCCTCGCTCGAGGGCCTGGGSGGATCCCCCGGCCCCGAGGCGGACACCCTCTGCCAGCGCGCCGCGGCCCTGGCGGAGAGAGAGGCCTGGAAGATCCTCCGGGAACAGCAGCAGCAGCAGTAGAGACAGCGGGGGGGACGGAGACCGCGGCGACGGGAGGAACCAAAAAAGGGCAAGGCGTGTCGCGCGGGCCTCGCCAGAGGCAGGAGAGCGCAACCGACCCGCGGAGAAGCCGGAAAGGCGGCGTCCGTCGCCGGCACCGGAGGCCGTGCACCTCCATTGTACGAAACCACGAACGGGAACCAACGCAACGACGAAACGCGGCCAACACTGTTGTTGGCAAACACCACCGATGGCGATGCCTACGAGACGCACTATGGATCGTTTCTCGTCCAACCCACGGCGAAACCTTTGGCTCTCTTGCGGTCAAACCAAAAAMGAAAAAAGTCCCATGTAAATCACAACCCTCGTAAACCGGCATGTTTTATAGTAGTAAAGTATCCTCTGTGGTCCCCTACTTGGGTGGAAGCTAGAGCCATAAACCTATTTCGCCGGTATTTCATTTTCGCCCTGTGTCGCATCGATTGCTGCAATATAGACGATTCTCGTTACTCTAGTTGTCATGTATTGTCTCCATTCCTTCGTGAGGCTTTTCATGTGATTTCTTCGTTCCGGGAGGAAATAGAATGCACCCCCGAATCCTCATCGAATTGCAGAATGTTTCGTATTGTATCCATTGGAGGTATAGCAAGGACATCCCGTGATGTATTATGTGAGCCGACTGTCAAACGCCTGTTCTTGTTTTCATCGGTACGCTCGTCACGATCCTGGCTTGGAAGTGACATTCTCCTTGTCTTTCGACGAACTCGATTCTTTGGCGGGAGGCACGGCCGGGGGGTAGTGCGACACATAGTGCTGCTGGTAACGAGGACGATGGCTTTGACTCGTTGTCGTTGCCGTTGCCGTTGCTGTAGCTGCTCCGCTTCCCGTCTCTTGTTGCTGGTCCATCGGAGCGTCAAAGCTGGTTACCTGCTGTGCCACCATGTGGTGGTGGGTAGCGTCGACCCCGGACGGAACCAACAACGAGGGATGGTGCCCCGACGGAGGCAGGGAATACACAGAACCACCAAGGAATGGTGGCTGTTGCTGCTGCTGCGACATGGCATAGTAGGAGGGCTGGGGTGGGTAGGGCATGTACGACATGTGCTGCTTGGAATCCGAACCCTGGGCCGCACTCAGGTAGGTGGGTGCAAACGACGTTGCTTCCGGGTTCATTTTTCCGATCTGGTAGCCAGACATCACGCCCAGGGACGGATACCCCGCCGTGGCGGGATGCGCCATGCCCTGGGGAGCATCCTGCTGCATCCGGGAATGGCCCTCCATCTTTGGCAGTTGCGAGTAGTGCTCCGGATTYGGTACCAGCACGGGGCTGTTTCCGAYCTCGGACCCATCGAAACTGGGATCTACGTTGACAAGCATCGGGGACGTCTGCTGCGGCGGTGGCTGTTGCGGAACCTGGCCCACCGCTCGGTTCTGTTCCCTGCTGTACAGYTGTTGCAACTGTCGCTGTTGCATCTCGTATTGCTGGTGCAGGGCAAACTGGACCGATGCAACGTCTTGGTGCTGCTGGGGCTGGGAGTGCGCCCGCGTGTGTGGGTGGTGTGCGTATTGTGCGTGGGGTGGATAGTGCTGTCGCATGTGTCCGCCTTGTTCACCGTAAGCGTGGTACCCCTGCATYCCGCGATACATCATCGGATCGGAACGAAGGGGCTGGCTCTTGTCCGTTTTCGTTCCTCCGTACTGGGGGTTTCTGTTCTGGCGCCGTTGTTCACCGGTGGACGATCTGTTGCCCCTTCTCGAACCTTGCTGCTGGTTTTTGGCACCAGATTTGCCCTGCATGCTCGAGGCAGAAGACGYCATGGGAGAAGAAGCGGAAGATCCACTCGTTCTTGTTTCCAGCGAGGATTTTTTCCCTTGCCTGCCACCGGAAGTGGTAGTGGTAGTAGAATTAGCGTATGCCATGGAATCTGTGTGCTCCTTTTCTGATATTTCACTCGCCACGACACTCAGATCGATGAGGGAAAAATTTCGATCCGAGTTCATAGCGGATGGGGGCGGCGGCGTGCTCGAAACATTGTCGGGATATTCAGTGAGCTTTCCCCATTTCGTCACTGCTAAACGAATGTGTTTCCCTTGGTACAGTTCGAGGGTACAGTTTCGCATCACAACTGCTCCCGGTTTCCCCTCGCTGCGGACTTTCTCGAGCAAGTCGATTTGTTGGTCTCGAGCTCGAAAGGATACCGTGCCCGTTTCATCACCAATTTCAACCTCGGCAAGCCGAACACGTGATTGATCCACTCGCCTCTTATCGACAACCAAATTGATATTCCCCACAAGACTGTCAGTGTTAGAACGAAACAGCAGTTGTGAAAAAAGTGAGGAAATTAGTACCCAGGAATCGTGCATTGACTATCAAGTACACCAGAAATGCCAACAAGATGAAGGAAACCTATACGAAGTATAGAAGATAATATTACAACTTACACACAAAGATTGAATCCTCCCCGAGGTGGCTGTAGCCGCTTCTGTGGAGCTATAGGTCCAAGCGTGTCTTCTATGTCGGGGTCTTCCTCGGGAGCAGAAACGCCATCACTGCTGTCATCGCTCCTGTAATCACTCCTCCCGGTCCCGATTCGATCTTTTCCAGCACCCGTAGCGGCAGCTGTTGAAGACATCGCACGAAGCTTGGTTCTCTTTTCGTTGACTCTCGAGATTTCTTTCTCAAGCTGAGCATGGTCGATGTTATAGGCACTGATTAGGTCCGAAACATGGACATAAGTTGCTCGGCGCAACGGTTGCTGCGGCGTGTACTGAGAGGTCGACGGTGTGGTAGGGGGAGCCATTGGGTACTATTCGTTCGACTACGTCCGTCATGGGCTGSTGTAGACTCTAACCTCTGCGCTGTAGCGCAATACTATTGATAACAAGCTGCAAGCCAGCGTTTTCTTTCCGGTAAATAGTGATTCGTAGGTTTTTGTGCACCTAATATCTGATATCGTTGTTCTAA